CAGATGTAACTGTGAAAAATATCTATATCTGGAATATCTGAAACTTGTCAGTTTAACAAGTCTTTTTCTTGTGTATTAATTCTTCATAGTCTGCATAACTGGGACATTGCAGGGGATATATCCTTAGGCTACATATTTTGTGTCATAATATTCCCCTCTTTGATAGGTATGTATTGGTCGGTGTGATTATCAAAATCTGGAATAATACTCTTTTTTTTTTTTCTAAATTAACAAAAGAAAATCGAGTAAAGGTATCTTCAGTATCCAGAATATAGCGTATTCATTCCTGCTCTGTGATCTTTGCTCCTTGTGGTATTTTTTTTAATCTAAGCCAAAAAGAACCACACTGAAAACCAGTTATTTTCTGATTCCCAGAGTTGCCGCCTGCGGTTAACGTCATACTAACAATGTTAGTGGTTAAATGAGTAGAGGAAAAGACAATGATTTGCCATCTGGAGGTAGACTTGGTGTTGCAGCAAGGAATAATATCCCAAGTGAACAGAGACAGACAAGAAATTCCTCATTATTTCATCAAAGTTGTTCAGTACACATGAACACCAAAGAAGAGCGATGTCTGTGTGTTTCTGCTTTGAGTATCCCCCCTACCAGTATGGAAGCTTTGGAAGGGATTGATCAATACTGAAGCCTTTGGCAAAGTGTTTGCATATCGACATATTATAATGCATATAGTTGGCGGAATCGATGATACTGTAGTCTCCCTTTATTTGTAAGCTTCTCTTAGCAGACCCTCACTAGATATGTTCTCAACCTAACTTCTTCATGGCTATAATTGTATCCCTTTTACCTACGGCAATTTTACTTGAGTCAGGGTCCTCAACGAATTATGGAGAGTGGTTTGGGGCTAATAGTTTCTTTGAAAGCTGAAATCTTTCTTACTTTAAAATTGGGTCCAATGGTCTTTTTCAATGTAAAACACAAGGAACAATGCAAAATAACCATAGCAACCAATCAAAAATCCCCATGTTGAAATAAAACTAGGAGAATATGGATTCTGGTTAGCTGCAGATGGCATTGGCTCATTTTGCTTTGACTAAATAAGCCTGTGAACTGCCATTACATGACAACACTGCCTGAAGGACTTGTCTGGCAGTGGTCTTCATAGTAACAGTAAGACATGGATCTTTGTGATTGATATAGAATGAACATTCACACCACTGTGCACTGATTAAAGTTTAATACAAAGTTATTATAGAGTTTATAGTGTTTCTAAACAAACTTGTTTCTTTAGTTTCTGCTAGTGTTATGAAGGGTTAGAACCTCTATCAGGCTTGTATTGTTGCCTGTGTTCTCGAAGGGAGAGTCACCCCTTGTAACCAGTTCCAACAGTTAGGGAGGGGAAATCTTCCAGTGTGGATAATTTTTCCGAGAGTCTAAACAAGGATTCCCTTCCCATTGAAGAGATATCATCTCACTTTCTGTTGTGTGTCACAGAGACAGGAAAAGAAAGGAGATCTCCCCAGTGGGATACAGACAAAAAAAATTAAAAATGAAGGGGTGTTAACCTTTTCCTACTCCAGCGTTTCTCAGCCAGGGTCTGAGGCGTCTAGGGGTGCCGCTTGTCTAGTATTTTTGCATAGCATCATGCTATTCCATAGCTGATGAAAAGCTGACCACCAGCACCATGGAAATGCATGACAGTAATCCAGGGCAGGTGGTATTCGGGGCAGCCCCAGCATTCAGAACGGGATGAAAGTCTGCCTCCATTTAAACCAACTCCAACTTCACTCACTGCCATGCTGTCACAGCTGTGCTGTGATGCAGATCAAAAGGTAGGACTCCCTTGTGAAAAGGTGGTGGAAACTGAGGACTCTGATGTAAAAGAGATAATTGGAATTCAAATTGAATATAGGCACCTCAAGGATCACAACAATATCTTTATTGAGTAAAAATAATAAAAACATAGTGCTAAAAAGTAAGTGTTTTGCCTTGACATTAATTGGAGAGAAGAACCTCCTACATAAACTACAAAAGAACATCCCGTTCTCCCCCGGAATGGTGATATATCAATAACACCACACCTATGATTATTAAACATGTTTTTACTTGAAATTGTTCTTTTCTTCTATCCCTCCTGAGGAAGTGGAAAGCTTAAAAACATGTAGAGGTAAAAGAGAGAATGGTGGAGCTCCCTAACCTTTTATATTATTGGTACTTGCCACAAGAAGGATGGTTGTGTGTAGTTTACCGTATATAGGGCATTCTTCCATCCAGATAATGTTGACAGAACACTTACATATTAACACTATATTTTTATTATTGGTAATCAGTAGAGATATTTTATTTTAAATGTGTTTTGGTTCTTGGGGTGCCTATAAAGTTCCTATCAAATTTGAATTCCAATTTCCCCTATTCTCAGTGGGATTTTGTGCCCCGAATGTTGTACATCTGGGCCTCCAAGTCACCTGTTTTTTCATATTTAAACTATGATGTAAAACATGCGGGTACTGAGGAGTCTGAAGTAAAGGGGGGTACTGAGGATTCTGAAGTAAAAGGGGTACTGAGGACTCTAATGTAAAGGGGGGGGGGGGTGTTGAGGACTCTGATGTGGGAGGATAACTGAGCAGTCAATGCTCTTTAAAAGGTGAGGACTCTTATGTGAAAAGGATGGTGGTGGGGACTAAGGATGTGAAAGGGAGAACCTGAAGATTCTGTTGTGAAAGTGGGGATTCTAATGTGATTGTGGACCTCATTTTAGACTGGAGTGCCTCTAGATTTTGTATGCTTTCAAAGGGTGACTGAAAAAAAGGTTGAGAAGCACGGATTTATTCTGTATAAAAACTGGTTTTAGATACGCTTTGCCAAATAATAATACAGTGTGTTGCACCTTAAAGACGAGTTATCATGAAAGAAATGTGGAAGCTGTCAATGATTCCTCTCCTCCTGAAGAGTCTGGGCTGCTTCTTGCTATGCTGTCCCATTTGAGCTGCTAACCTGGAGCAAATACAAAAACTTCTGACTTTCCTCTGACTTTTCCAATCTGCATAGATGATATGGGTCAGTGACTCAGAAAGTACTGAAGCCAATGAGACAGCACAACCAGGCAGTTAAATTTTCAGAGTGAGGTCAGCAGTGACTGCCCTCGTATTTCTCTCTTGACAGGTTTACTTTAACTGTGCATGTCTGACGAAAGGGTCATTTTAAAGCTGTTCCTTAACTGGCATGGGACCTTCAATATTAATGTACATGTGCAGGACGTAGCGTATGTAACTGGAGCTCCAGGTCTTGAAAAAGAAACAAATAAAATTCCCGGCCTAATTTTACCATCTCACTTTCCCTGAGCGTCACTTGCAGTAAATATTCCTTGCAGTAAGTTCCACATGATCCAAGTCTTCTTCAACAGCATGTGATATATTGCTGCAGTCATATTGTACTAAAAATAAACAACTTCGACCGCTGTCAGTTTGGATGTACCTACTGCTCACACAGAGCTGTGGTCACAAGGCGTATAAACCAACATTGGAAATAAAAGAGATTGTAAGGTTTAAATGTTTGAATGGTTAAAGGAGATCAAAACCCATAACATGATAATTGTTTTCTATAGTACTTTGTGTCATAGATACCGTAATTGTCATTTGTTTTCATAAATAACTTTTTCTTGCTGCTGCTAATCTCCTACAGCCCTTTTAAGGCATTTCTGGTCTACATGCGCACACTCCATCGTTGGCTTCACATTATTGCTATGGACTCATTTCTCAATGGTGGAGCTTGCCGTTATAATGTGTTTCAGCACAAATGCTTGTATTTGTGCATTGGGGTACATGTGACAGGGTTACAACACAGGAGGCAAAAGTGGGAGCTGTTGTCACTCCATAACAGGAAGTGCTTGAACAAGGACCTTCCTGACAGGATCACTGGTATTCTTTTACTGAAAGTTACAAGATTAAAAAGATCAAAAAGTTAAAGTGATTGTAAAGCCTTAAGGTTTTTTTTTTTTTACCTTCATGCATTCTATAAAAAAACTTCTTTGTGCAGCAGCCATCCCCCCATACTCACCTGAGCCTGATTCCGATCCAGCGATGGACACAAGAACCTTGACTCTCTCAGGTCTCTCTCTCTGCATTGGATGAGACAGCAGCAGTAGCCATTGGATTGACACACAGAGTAGTCACTCAGGAGTGAGCCTGCTCAGGTGCCCCCATAGCAAGCTGCTTGCTATGGGGGCACTAGGCAGGAGGGAGGGGCTGGGAGTGCTGGCAAGGGACCCAAAAGTTTCGACCTAATTTTAAAAAAAATATTTTTTCAGTAAGCTGAAAGGCCAAGGAACCAATCCTTATTCATTTCAAATAAGCAACAATTATTTCTAATAACATTAAAAAGTATACAAATTCCATAAACCGTACAGGATGTGAAAATGGAACAACTGAGAAAGTTTAAAAAAATACACTTTTAATTAAACATGGAATGCCTGAAAAGTGAGAAATGTGTAGGTCCCCTTTACTGACCTCCTGCTCAAAATGCTAATTGTACCATCGTAATGCTGGTCCTTTCACTTCAGCACTTGCTGTGTCATAGAAATTGGAGCCAATGTTAATGGCTGAACATTTTCTGTAAAGTAATGCAAACAGTTTCTATGCTGTATGATTTACTAAATGAAAGTATATCTAAATGCCATTTTTAGTTTTGGATACTGTAGGAAGAGGATGGGCAGTTTTTCAGCTGACTTTATAGGGAGATATTCCTTCATTTTCAGCCTTGAGACACAACAGGAAGTAAAAGGAGATCTCCCCAAATGAAAGAAATCCTCTCTTGGGCATGTATCATAAGAACTAGTGTCCCTGTTGTAAGATTTCTCCTTTATTCCTGCTCCAGTGATGGCCTAAAATGTTGGATTTTCCCTAATTTGCAGTTAGAAGTTACCAGAACAAATAAAATGAATCTCTCTAGTGGGGACATAGATGGCAATAAAAACTCTAAAGAATGTAAAAAGATGAATTTGATATTAATCATTTTGTAACATTGCTATTTCTTCTTCCTTGTAGATGCAAAGAGACATTGCATACTCTGTTCGAGAGGGCCCAGCAGTTCACCGACCTGGGTCAGCAACATATCCCTCTCATGGAGGCCCGATATCTCCCCCTCCTACTCCTGTGCCGCATTCCATGCCACCATCTCCGTCAAGGATTCCCTATGGAGGAGGACGGCCTCTGGTGGGACAGAGCAACACCACGATACAAAGGGAAAGGATTTCCAGCCTACCTGTCTCCCGATCCATATCACCCAGTCCTAGTGCCATCTTGGAAAGGAGGGATGTGAAACCAGATGAGGATCTGGGCGGCAAAAATGTCCAGTTAATGCGCAATGATGGCATGTATGTGGAACCTTACCTTTACCACGAAGGTCGTATGAGCGTTGCATCTTCCCATGGTGGTCACCCAATGGACATGCCAGACCACCTTCTTGCTTTCCACAGGGGAGCAATGAGATCTTCTAGCACTTACTCAAACTCTTCTATGCAAATGGAGATGATGGAACAGTCAGTTTATAGACAAAAGTCTCGGAAACACTCAGAAAGTCATTTGCCAACGCTTGGCTCGAAAACTCCTCCGGCCTCTCCTCACAGGGTGACAGATATAAGGATGATGGAAATGCATGGTCACAATGCCCACGTGCCTCCCCATGGTATACAAAGTGAGAGATCTTCTCCAATCCGACAGTCATTTAAAAAAGAACAAGGACCTGGAGTTTTTGTGGAGGCCAAGGTCCGAAACACGGGTGGAATAATGGGCATGGCTGATATTGTACCATCTCCCACTGAAAAACAAGTATTCAGTGGATATGGAGTTCCTTCAACAGCACAAAAAGATATTTATACTCGGTAAGTAGACTATGTAATGGTTTTGTATTCTCTTTGCACCCTTTGTGGTCAGTTAAGGTATTTAATGTATTTATTAGGGCCTTAAGGGATTTTATAGAGGGTCTCATTTCCGAAAGTGTACCAGCTTAATCAATGGATTTGGAAATATGGAACCTGAATGTTGGTTATGGGCTTAAGAGCGACCTAGGCATGCAAACTAGGGGCTTTAAAACACAAGAGCCATACAAAATATAATCAAATTTCCATATAAAACCTGCACTGCTAGGATATAATACAAACACTTTTATTTAAAATTAGAAAACACTTTTTTTTTACATATGTAAAAGGTTTGTACTGTATCCTATCAGTGTGGCTATTTATGTAGATTTTGTTTTTGGGGGTATGGCAATGGACAGTTGCAACCTAAAACTTTTAGAAATGAGGTGGAATGTATTGTGACATATGCTTGAATGCACACCTCTCAACTTTAATGCAATTTTAGGACTGTTCATGGGATAGGTTGGGGCTTAATTGTTGGAAAGTGGCTAGACATATTTGGGAGGGGTTGCAGTATTTGGGAGTATTTCTGATTTCACATCATACTGCATTGGGAGTTGAGCACGCAAGTACAAAAAAAAGTTTCCATTGTACTTACTCTTGCTATGCAGTTGTTTTTTTGCATAAAAAGGTCAACCATTTTGTGATTTGAAGGGAAATGTAGCCTATAAATTCAGACTGGGACATTGTGGGCCATAGGGTGAACATTTCCTTATTCCTTGAATTTCTTATTTCTGTTGAATTAAATGCTGCATTCACTTGTTTACTTGTTCTTTAACAAAATGGAACACAACAATATTTGTTCAGATGCCTACAGGTTATTTGTTTAACCATTCTATAAGGAGATGCATGTATTTTACGTTTTTTAATGGACAACTAACTCAATTGCATGTGTTTTAAAACATCTTAGAAGGCTATTCATGGCTGTGCTATCAATGGGGAGAACTAATGATGGTTGAAAAAAATATTGCTGTGGTTTTGCAGAATGTCAATGTTGGTTTGCTTCAGCTTCTTCAGCTTCCATTCCTGACCTTCCCTTAAAATGTAATGTTACTTTCCTAAACCTTTAGATATATACTCTGATACAAACGTGTACATAATACTAGGTACTATAAAAATTAACACTTTTAGTGATCTCCCTATTAATGGACAATCAGTTGATGTGTAATCCAGGGTGTAAATATGTTATATCTGTGCCTGGCTCTACTTGTAAATCATGCTGTTATCACAGCTTACATGTGAAAGAATAGCGGTTGATCCTATTGCATCATGAGATCGGAACTGCTTTTTTAAATTTGGTTCAGAACTAGAGCTTTGACCTGTAAAGTAGAAGAGGTGACCACACATAGGTCCTAAGGTTTTGAAGGCTTCTGCATGTGGCTGTGTCTCTAGTAACTGTACGAACCTCGAAAAGGAAATAAATGCTTTCTTCCTGTTAAAGAGGACCTGAAACTCAAAAAAAAGCGAGCAGAAGGCAAAAGGTTTGTCCCAGCAGCTTATCCTATCCCCATGACTGATTTGCCCTGTCCTGCACTGTGCGTCCACAAGATATCTGCCTTTACCGTCATTAGGAAAGCAGCTCTGACAACAGGAAGCCAAAATCTGCATCTATCAAGATATCTGCTTCCACACCAGGGGCGGACTGACAACTCATGGGGCCCCCGGGCATTAGGGGATCATGGGGCCCCTGTGTCCTTGCCCAAACTCAAAAAAGCCTATGAAAAAGGTACCTGGGGCATCTTATGGAGCCCCCTACTGACCCTGGGCCCTTGGGCAGTGCCCGAGTTTCCAAATGGTCAGTCCACCCGTTCCACACTCCACTTGTGTGGAGGCATACCTCTTGGTAGATGGAGAGTTGTCTTCCTTTTGTTGGAGCTGCCTTTCCAATGACTGGTAGGGTTGACCCTGGCTGGTAAAAGAGGCTTAGTATCAATGGTACTAATAGGAAGTAAAGCTTGAGTTGGGTATTTTTTCTTTAGAAAAGGTTACAACCTAATAGCTTTGGATCCTATGATCATCGGGAAAATAATCATAAAGAAGGAAAAGTGGAAGCAGCACAAAATAAGTGAACCAGAAGCAGGGAAATCCCAGCATTGCTGTTTCTCATTCCTCTTCAGCATGGAGAACAGGGAGTGGAACTAGTAACATCACCAAATCTGACTCTAAACCTCTCGAGACTTAACATGGCCATACAGTAGTTGAATTTTGTTCTCAGAATTTTTGTTTTCAGAACATTTGTTCTATTTTTTAATAGTTAGTGGAGTCAAATTAACAATTTTTTGTTATGTAATGAGGAGTAAAACATGTTCATATAGTTTTTGTTTGGTAAAATCATACATATTGTTCTAGGCACAAAAGAAGCTTAGTAAATGAGGTAAAGCTTCCTTTTGCCAAGAAACCCACATGCAAGGAAAAAGAAAAAAAACTGAATTTTTTGCTTGCACATTAGATGGATTGGATTGGATGATGGAAGTCAGCAGAGCTTCTGCTCATTTACTAAGCTCTGGAGCAACTGTACTTGCAGAGTGCAATTGGACTTTGCAAATTGCACAGTCTAATAGCCTTTAGTAAATCAACCCCAATGATGGCAAGATCGAATGCCCTGATGAACAATTTTTGCAGAATTTCTGTACAAATGTTTCAATGAATTCCTTTTGGTGTAGTTGACTCAATGGTGGCAATATCGAATGCCCTGATGAACAATTTTTGCAGAATTTCTGTACAAATGTTTCAACAAATTCCTTTTGGTGTAGTTGACTCAATGGTGGCAAAATCGAATGCCCTGATGAACAATTTTCCCAGAATTTCTTTACAAATATTTCAACAAATTTCTTTTGGTGTATGGCCGGCTTTCAGCTGGTCGTAGATGGATCTAAATTCACCTGGTTCAGCAGGGACTGGCCAAATTTCGCTCCATGTGTGGCCATGCCCGTTCAAGAGAAGTTGATTATTAAGTAAACATCTGTCAAAGGGGCTTTTTGGAAACTTTTTCTCGATCAACAAGCTGCACTTACTGATAAGTGTATTCTGACAGCAGAGAGCTTCACTGTCAGAATACAATGTCCCAGCAGGAAGGATTCCTCTAGCCATGTCGCTTGTGGGTGGATGGAGGAATCCATTCTTTTTTTTTTTTTTCGTTCAGCTCATTGGACAATCAAAACAAAAACGAGTCATGTATGATCAGCTTTAGGGAGAGGCAAAAGTTCCTGAGATTATCTCGTAGTGAAGAGACAGCTGTGAGACTCAGCACACACTAATTAGCAAATCTTCACTGAAGATCAGGTCCACTTCACAAACAGATCATAACCAGGAACCTTGCTACATTATATGCCACCTACAGCAGCATTTGAAATGCCTTCACACCATTCCTAAAGTGGAAGCTGCCCACTGTCCTAAGCCTCTAATTCCTTAGGTCCTGTGAAGGGCTATAAGATTTATAGTCCCATAGCTCCAGTAGAGGGTTTTAAGTCTCTTAATTGCCTACAAAGAACTGCGCTGCTCATGGCTTTCTTCCTTTCCCTAGCAGAGCATGGATCCCCCAGAGCAGTATACAATGAACTAACTAATGACAGTGGCTATTAAGTGTAGACCTTTGTTTTGCAGCTGTATACTTGTCACCCACCACATCTTCTATACACAGATGTTTTCTCTCAGCTTAACGCATATGACTACTATGACGATTATTCTTTTCAGTCCAATGAAAGTGTGCTCTAGCTTCCCTCTAATGGCATTGTGCCTGGAGTATGTGGAGAGGGAGACTGATACATTTTGGATTGGTATGCACAGTTTTGCTAAGCTATGCATGTGTGAATAAATAAAGCATATATTATGTGTTAAGGCAGCAATGCTCTCATCATTTGGCTGCTTGTTGAGTCAGGAGATCTCAAGCTGGCCAAACACCTGTAGATCGGGCCACCTGAGGATTCCCCTCGCCAACAGAACGTCTGATCTGGGTGACTGCCAAGTCTAACAAACATGGGTGGACCAAGTGGGAGAGAGCTGTATATATCATGTGGGGAATGCTAGAGTCAGAAGCTACAAAAATGCACAGATGTGGCTCCTAAATTTTTGTGCTTTCCTGATCTGCCTCCATTTAGTTTGCCAGAACACTGTATATCTCAAACCGTTGCAATTTTTCATCCTAAGTAAAATATTTATTTCATTTTTTCATTTCTTTTCCCATCTTGGTGAAGTTTATATCCTCCATTCTCTTTCAGACATTTACTGTCGACATGCAGTTGCAGACTAACTTCTCAATAGTGGAAACAGTAGACCAGGGGTGGGCAAACTTTTTGACTTGAGGGCCGCAATGGGTTCATATATTGGACCCGGGGGCCGGACCAAAAGTAGATGAATGATGTGTATGTGTCATCCATAGTAAGTATAGTAATATTCCCCCATAGTAAGCATAGTAATTAATCCCCCATAGTAATTCATCCCCCATTGTAATTCATCCCCCATAGTAATTCATCCCCCATAGTAATTCCCCATATAGTAATTCATCCCCCATAGTAATTCATCCCCCATAGTAATTAATCCCCCATATAGTAATTCATCCCCCATAGTAATTCATCCCCCATAGTAATTCACCCCCCCTATAGTAATTCATTCTCCATATTAATTCATCCCATAGTACTATTCCCCCCCAAGTAGTAAGCCAAGTCTCCCCTGTGTCAATTCACTTACCTTTGCTCCGCGCGTTCCTCTCGCCGTGTTCCCGCGCCGTTCCGTTCTTCAGGGCGGACTGTGAGAGGAGCCTAGCTCCCCTCACGTTCGTCACGCTGCCCCGCCTACACACATCCTGACAGCCATCCTGACAGTATCACGCTCCACGGGCCGGATTAAAAGGTCCGCCGGGCTGTATACGGACCGCGGGCCGTAGTTTGCCCATTGCTGCAGTAGACCATACCCATGCAATGGGTGTCGGCACAGCCGCTTGTAATCTCTTCAGCTGCGGTACATGT